AACGCAGTCAAAGGGGGCAAAAAATAATAGGTAAGAATAATAAGAAACATAGCAAATACAATAGGGACCTCCAGCGGTCGCTGGCCCGGTCTCTAATAAATTACAGTGGGCATTTTATCCTCAGAGCGATGAGAGTGGATTCATTGTAAAATAAGTGACAGATTAATAGATATTCATAATTTTTACCTGGCACTCTATTTCTGTTTTTGGGTATTTTTTACCTTTTTTTGGCAAATCTGTACTGTAGTGCTTTATGGGTGCTGTATTCTTCCTGTTCCACCATTTTCATGTTCCCCACTCTTTTTAAGAAACAATTTTCTAGGACCTTTCCAGGAATGTTTTTTAGGAGTTTTCCTAATGATACAGCACTTGCTCAAAGGGTCAATAATTAACTGGTAGACTTAGTATTGACACATTTTCCCAGTTTTATTCCTCCTTTTTTAATGATGCAGGTGGTCAGAATTAAAATCAGGGACACCTCCCATTAGCTGTACAGTTTTCCTCTAACTTAGGTTTATGTAGGTGAACTGAGAGAGGGGATTTTTCTAAGACAACGTAGATGATTTCCAGGATATTTGGTCATTTGAATCAATTTCCAGGTGTTTCCATGACTGGAAAACTAGCCTCTAATTTTTTAGTTTTTCCAGAACATGTGGGAACACTTCCATCCATTAATTTGAATGACATAATCTGGCATCTATTCCTTTCAGTTTGATTAAATATCTTATACTTGAGACTTCCTTGGTAATTCTTGGTCATACTGTTTCACAATCCCATTTGATTCTGCGCATCATGATATGTTATCATAGTTTGCAGATAACTATACTTCAGACTTCACTTCTGAATTGCTTCAGATGCTTAGACCCTGATATATCTGCTTGCAGTTCTAGTTGGAAATATTTTTTTCTGTTGATCGACACTAAACTGGACTGTCTCCCTGTACACAATATCTGCAGCCTGGTAGCCCTGTGGCATTTTATAGAGGCTGGTGGAAAATGAGTGTTTTCTTGTGAAGTTGCCAGGAGTGTTAAACTTCCTGGAATGTCAGGAACAAAAGCACTGACTGTGTACTCGAAGAGGGATGAGAGTCCCAGTTGGGGACATCAATAATTTCTGCAAATGCACAGGCAGGATGACAAATAGGAGATGAAAATGTGGCAGATAGATGACACAAAAGCATGCGGTGCAGTGACTGATGTTGCTACTTAAACCGTGCATGTTCATAATTAGATGATTTATGGTGGTCATTGCAGATTTACTGCCAGTTTTCCTTCTAGTCCCTGTCCATTCTGCTGCCTCGCCGGCGCATTAATATCATTTAACCATTTATCTACACGGCTCATAGTCTCAACGACCATACTTTTAATAAGCCTTTTTATGGCTTTAGCTGGTACTTATATACATAAAACCTTAAAGGAGTGACTGCCCAGGCACCAAGGTGAATATCATTTACATTTTCTTGAATCATTTTAGGTAACGGGTCAGAGAGAGCTGCTTCCTCTAATCTTTGAGGTCAAGAACAGGTGATTGTTATAAAGACATAAACATGTACAGTACAACATATTATTCTAACCCAATATCCTTGTATTTTACCATGGCTATGTAAATAATGTACACTGGGGCTCTCAACGAGTATTCTACAGTTGACTATATCCTTTAATTAATTAAAAGCACAGTTCCAAATAGAGGCAGGTCTCCTTTACTAGCCTGGTGTTGCTACATGTTTTGACAAATAAACACAGGTCTCAATTAGAGGGCTGGTCTGGATTTTACAAAGTTCTTTATATGTATGTATAAAACCTCTTTAAACCCACTGGGTCGCCCGCTTGATGTGCTGCACATCGTTAGATCAGTTAGATTGTCCACAATTCAATCATTAGGCTCACTTTACAGAAACCACTAGCACCAAAGGAATGATTCATAATTGATATGTTATTCCATAGCCTCATTTGTAATATTCATACGGGTCTTATTAAACAACTTGATAGTATTTCCCATCTTTGCTGAGCAAGAGTCCAAATAAAGACAGGTTGAGTTCAGTGACTGAAGCAAATAAAAGCACGGGCTATTCATTATTGCAAAAACAAAACACTTGTTCATGAACTTGAAAAGCTGAGGAGGAGTATGACCAGCGAACACACAGCTTTACTAAATAGCTCCTTGGAGCCTATCTGGTCATCTGTCGAATAGTTTCAGATGAGTTTAGCCTGTCCGACCACAGCAACAGGATTACGCAATTGGAGCTTGTGGTGAAGGAGAATACGGAGCTTAAAGCCAAAGTGGAGGACTTAAGGGGCCCCTTCAAAGCACCAAAATGTCTGAGTGCTGGGACAAGGGAAAAGATGCTAGGGTCTTTATGGCCAAGTTGTTCGCTGACCTGCTGGGGGACCTGCTCTCTGGGCTGCCTGAGTTGGACCGCGCTCACCTCAGCCTGCAGGCGAAACCTCGCCCGGATGAACCTCCACGCCCTGCTGTTGTCAGGTTTCATCGCTATATGGAGAAAGGCTGTTCTAAGGTGGGCGAATCTAAAAATACAACGTTAGGGGCAGGTAACACTACATGTTAAACCGGTTGCATGTACACAGTACACTGGTTCTGGCAGCTCGTCGGTTTTATACGAGCAAGCATCAGACATCCATTACTTAATTTTTCTGATGTAAGCTATGTGGGAATCGGGGGCGGATACAGGGTGGGCACTGTAGAGGGGACTGCGCGATTTGTCCTGCTGTGTTTTTTTTTTTTTTTTCATCGTTTGTCTGTTGGTTTGTTTTTGTGTTTCTCTCTCTTTCTTTCCCCTTTTCTCTTTCCCTCTGGGTCCCAAATTACTGGTTTTATGCTCAGTCTTATCTGTCTTGTGTATCATAAATGACAAATGCCTCTGTAATGCCAGGGGGAATAGCCAGATATCAAATTAACATTATTACTTGAAATGTGCAGGGCTTGGGGGGGCAGATTAAGCGTTCCAGGGTTTTCTCACACCTAAAGTACCTCTCCACTGATATTTCTTTTTTGCAGGAGACACACCTGCATAGAGTTGACCATATCAGGCTCCGTAAACCATGGGTTGAACAAATATTTCATTCCAATTTCAATATTAAATCCAGAGGCACAGCAATTTTAATACATAAGTGAATTAAGTTTATCCCAGATCACATATATTCTGATCCTGGGGGTCGCTACATTATAGTTTCTGGTACTCTTCATCAAACACCGGTTGTATTAGTCAGTGTGTATGCACCGAATTGGGATAGCCCAAATTTTATGTCCATGATGTTTTCCCATCTACCAAATTTAGAGACTCATCATCAAATATTAGGAGGAGATCTAAACTGTGTTGTTAATCCAAGCCTTGACCGTTCCATTGACCAAGACTTTATCAACACTTATGGATCAGGTGGGTTGTGTTGACCCTTGGCGTTTCTTTCACCCTAATGCTAAAGATGTCTGCAAATGCAAACTGAATTTGACCTGCTATCAACTAGCAAAGCGGAATACCTGCTACAACGGACAAGAGCAACTTATTATGAGCATGGGGACAGGGCCAGTCATCTTTTAGCCTCACAGCTGAGGCATCAACATGCCTTTCACTTCATATCACAAATATATGACTCTTCTCAGAACTTGACTGCAGATCTAGCAAACATAAATTTTGAGTTTTCTTCGTTTTATTCTAACCTTTACAAATCAGAACCTCCCCCTGATGCCTCAGTCATGGAATCATTTCTTAATAATTTAGATATACCAACTGTAAGTAAAGAAACAGCAGAAAATTTAGATAAACCACTAGGCCTACAAGTAATCACTTCTTGCATCTCTCTGATGCAAACAAAAGCTCCGACCCAGATGGTTTGCAGGTGGAGATTTTGAGAAGTTTGCTGCACAGCTCACTCCTTTATTATAGTTAGTTGTTTATTATTATGTTTTCAATGATTCACTAGAACGGGGTGTTCTGCCACCAACATTGAACCAGGCTCTAATATCTCTTATATTAAAAAAAGGACCCTAAGTTATGTGGTAGCTATAGACTGATCAGCTTGCTTAACAATGATGTCAAGCTGCTGGCAAAGATACTGGCATGCAGACTTGAGACCTGCCTCCCTAGTATTATATCAGAGGATCAAACAGGCTTTATTTTGGGCCGTCCATTGTCATCTAGTGTACGTAGACTTCTGAATGTAATTCTGTCCCCCTCTGCTTCTCCAAATCCTGAAATGGTCTTTTAATTAGATGCGGAGAAGGCATTTGATCGTATGGAATGGCAATCTTGGCAATCAAAACTTGTTTGCAACGCTCGAAAAATTCAGATTCGACCCTAAATTCATCTCATGGATCCGCCTTCTCTATTCGGCTCCATTGGCAAGTGTCAAACCAAATTTGGAAATTTCGCCCCCCTTTTTCCCTCACGCACGGCACACGTCAGGGATGCCCCCTTTCTCCGTTGCTTTTTGCACTCGCTATAGAGCCTCTGTCTATAGCTCTGAAAGGCTCTACATTGTTCTCAGGCATAAACAGGGGAGGTATTGAACACAGAGTAGCATTATATGCTGATGATTTATTATTATACGTCAAAGACCCAGTAAATTATGTTGACGGAACAGTAAATCTGTTAGAGACCTTCAGAGTATTTTCAGGTTACAAACTGAATATTGCAAAGAGTGTATGTTTTCCTGTAAACCAGTCAGCCAAATCCATCTCTCCTATGCACTACCTTTTCACTTATCTCCCAGTGGCTTTAAATATCACTCCTTTAGTTCACTTTACAAGAATAACTTTGTGGAATTGACTGAGAAGATTAAATTGGACCTACAGAGATGGAGTGCGTTACCTTTTTCACTTGTGGGTTGAATCGAAACAATTAAAATGAATGTATTACCTCGAATCCTATTTCTTTTTCAGACTCTTCCTATCTTCCTCCCCAAATCTTTTTTTAAATCACTTAATACCACTATACTTTCTTACATCTGGGCAGACAAGCCCCCCAGGATTCAAATATCAATTCTCCAGAGGCCCAAACAAGATGGGGGCCTTGCACTTCCCAATATGCAGTTGTACTGTTGGGCTGCTAACCTCCAAAAGCTAAAAAAATGGTATCATTGCCCTGACACTAACTGGTGTATTATAGAAGCCAGCTCTTGCACTTTATTTTCTCTTTCTGCATTGCTCTTTGCTCCACTCACGTCACATCCCTCTCAGTACACTAGCAACCCCTGTTGTACTCTCATCGCTAAAAATCTGGAAACAGACACTTTGGATTAAAATCCCCTTCTGTCCTTACCCCTATTTGCAATAACCATCTCTTTCTGCCTTCTTCACTAGACCCAGCTTTTAAAAACTTGAAGAAGAAAGGCCTGGTTTCTTTTCGTGATCCCTTTTTTGATTTGGTAGTTTGGAACCTTGTCACTAAATTTGATCTACCTAATTGTGGTCGATTTAGATATTTCCAGCTTCGTAATTTTGTAAGAACTCACTTCATGTCTTTCCCTAAACTACCTGAGAAGACTATAATGTCTCCCTCAGCATCACAAAACAGCATTGGATCAATTTACATTGGAGAGAGTCACTGCTCAGGATCAGCTCCACTAGCTCTTGTGCTCGTATGAGCCTTATTCAGTTTAAAGTGTTTCACAGGATCCACAATACTAAAGGCAGGCTGAAGAAATTGTTTCTTGACATGGACGATCCTTGTATCAGATGCTCTCTCTCCCCAGCAGACCACACACATACATTTTCTCCTGCCCAAAACTCAATTCCTTCTGGTTGTCTTTCTTCAACTCCCTTTCTGAAGTTCTGGACATTCCCCTGACCCTATGCCCTTTAACCGCTATCTTGGGTGTGTCTCCTGTGGGCAGGTTTAACAAGTATCAAGCTGACCTCGTTGCGTTTGCTGCTCTCATAGCCAAACATCACATTTTACTACACTGGAAAAGTCCTAATCCCCCTGGCACAACCTCTTGGTTAAAAGTTTTAATGTCTTTTCTTCACAAAAAATAAACACAGTCAGAGGATCTGTGAAAAGATTTCATAGAACTTGGGACCACTTTCTCTCCTATGTCTAAGACTAGGGTGGGTGGAGGGTGAATTCAGGGAGTTGGGTGCATTGTATGTTGCCTGTATGTTCTTTTACAGTCTACTTAAAAAAAAGAAAATATGAAAATGTCAGACTTTTCACTTACAGTTAATCTGTGTCCTTCCTGCTTGTAACATGCTTTGAAGTTTGCTCAATAAACTATTTTAAAAAAAAAAGACTTTTAGTGACCATGCCCTAAAAATGATTATAATTCCAGGGTCTGTAGCCTTAAGGGGCTAATAAAGGCTAGTTAAAAGCACTAGATGTGCGACAGGCCCTAATTGTAATTGGAGGAATTCTTTTTAAGGACAGCTAGCGGACCCGCTGGAAGTCTCCTATTGATATTGCTAAACTTCGACTCGTTGTGAACACATATACCTATATACAGCCCGACACGAGCAAGTCTCGTAACCCAGCATCGTCGTCTCAAA